CCCCCCCCCATGCATGTGGGCACATGCTGATAGGAGCTTCTTCGTGTAGCCAGAGCCCATTCCCAGATCTTGAGTCTGCACTCTGGAAACCACCTGTTTTGGTTCTTACCCTAATGGTGTCAAGCAGCAGGTATTTGTCACCAGGTAAAGATGCCTCTGCAGTTTCTACCTGGCAGTGCCAGGATATAAATGACCTGAGTTGCTGCCCAGATGTGACTCCACCCTGTCACAGCTGGATGTGTCAGCAGGAACCAAATGGTTGTTTCCACTTGAGGAGGGTGTATAGGACAGGAGAAAGTGGAGGAAGTCAGACTGGAAGGGGGCTGGGGTGATAAAAAAGTAGGGGGGCAGCTAGTCAGCTTTTCTTGTCCCAGACAAAGAGCAGCTTGTCAGATAATTGCAGAAACAGGTCAGCCCTGGTTTTTACATTAGAGAAACATCAATGGAAAGTTTTGCCAGGTGGTCCAAGGCAAAGCCATGAGGCTGGCTGATTAATGTGGATCGGAGTTTTAAGATAAAGGAGTATTAATATGAGAATACCAGGCAGCAGCCAGTTAGGAGGTAATTTGGGGGCTTGGGGCCCTTCAGGGCCTCCTCACTATAGGCAGCCACCTTCGGACACAGCAGGCCCTGACAAGTCATAGTAATAGCTCTTGGCAACTCCCAACCCAGGAGGTCAGTTTCCATGCCAACTCAGGGTAGGATGCCACCAAATGGGGAGGGGTGCCATCGCCAACCCCCATGACTAGGAAATCCTTTCTGCCCGATGGCTTCCACAGGGCTCCCTGTGCCTGCAGGAAGATAAAAGGCTATAAGCACCCCCTTGTCCTGGGGCAGCAACGTTCAAAACTCCACACCAACTGCAGCAACTGACTCCTTGTATTAGGGGGCAGCAGGATGGACTCTGGAGGAGACAGACTGGGTTAGCACCCAGCACGGGCACCTACTAGATATGTGATCCTGGACAAATCACTCAACTTCTCAGAACCTCAGTCTCTTCATCTATAAAACAGGATCATATCTCTATTATAAAGCTTGATTGAGAGAATTCATATAAAGTACTGTGCAAAATGCTTGCCCTTGAGCAAGTTTTCTTATAAAAGGGTAGCTGTGATGGGATGGGAACAGCAGAGGAAACTTCTTGCAGGGGTTCACGACGGAGTGGGCCATACAAGGAACTCTGGCAGGATGCAGGCAGCTCACAATATCACTGGTGAGAGTAGGGTTATAAACAAGAGCTGGACAGGAGCACACGAGAAACAATGGAAGGATCCAGGCTACAGAAGCCGGCAGGCCTGGGCTTGAACCTTGACTCTGCTCCTTGCTGACTGGTCTTGGGTAGTCACTTGGCTCCTCTGGGGCTCCACTACTTCACTTGTGAGATGGAGCTAACAGCAGTCCCTCCTTCATAGGGAGATTGGGTTAATAAGCGAGATAATCCATCTCAAGTATTTAGCACAGTGCCTGGCAAAGGGTAGGCACCTGACAACACCAGCTCCTCCCCATCTCGGCCTCCATAGGCCTATTTTTCTCACTTGTTAAGCACACCAGCCCTGCCCAGCCCCAGGGGTGTGGAGGAACAAACGCTCAGAAGTGCTTTGAAAGCATAAATGCTGCCTTAGTTTTGCTGTCCCTTGGCACACCATTCCGTCCGCCCTGCCCCCCAGCAAAGGGGAGAAGCCTTTTGAGCCTTGGATCCTCGGGGTGGTGGAGTTCCCACTGACTCACTCCTTACTTAAAACATCAGCGCCCTCCCAGGGATCAGATGGGATCCCAGGGGTCATTCTGTTCCTTGTTAACCTCTGCACAGGCTGGCTCTGCCCACGGCACCCTAAGGGATGGGGAATGGGCCAGGCTGTGGCTGCTCAGTGCCTACCAGATGGGGCTGAATTTGAAGCCTCCACTACTTCCCTTCCCCAAACCAAGTCACAGGGAACACTGCCCTGGGGGCCACGGGGTCAAAAATATGAGGGGAGAGAATCTGGGAAGTTAGACTTTTGGAGAGCACAGGGACAGGATAGGTAGCTGGGAGCCTCTCACAAAACCACACACACACACACTCTTTCTCTCTTCTCTCCAAAGGCCCCCCAAATCAAGGATGTCCACCTCTGCCTTGGCCCAAAGCTCTAACCTCTACAAGGCTGCCCCACACATGTGATCTGAGATGTGCAGTTGGTGGATTTGGCTTTGAAAATAAACCTGGGTCATTCCGAGGGCTGGGTCTATCTGCTTGCCAGGAAGCCGGCAGGAAGCCTGCTGAGTTCCTCTCCACCCTGGCCCCTGCCTACAGAGCATGGCAGCTCATGCAGGTCACAGCTAAACTTAGCTTGGCAAAGGGCCAGGGTCACAGGCAGCAGGGCCTGGGGCAGAGGTTTGCAGGTGGTCGGCCAGAACCAATAATTTACTCAGACTGTTACTTTGAGCCTGGCCAGGCCCTGGGGGAGAAATCCAAGGTGGCCCCTCCCTTCCCTGGGTCCCCCCACTCCTGGGTCCCCCAGAGCCCTACAGCACCCCCACCATAGATTAATCCAGTCAATGCCACTGAGAGCTGTCAGTGACACCCTTCTGTTCACCAAGCCCTCACTAGGATGTGCTGGGCACTATACACAGTGGCCCCGGGTAACTTTTCTAAGACGTGGGTTACCCCTATTCACAGATGAGTTAAGCAGAGCCTGAGACGAGGTACTTTTCCAGCAGCACAGTTAGAAAAGGCACAGCTGGCAGAGATCCAGCCTGTTCTGTCTGCCCCCACCTGCAAAGCCTAAGTTCTTTCCATGGTACTATGTTTACAGAGCACCTACTGTGTGCAAGGAACATGCTGGGTGCTGCAGGGCCCACAAAGATGAGTGTGGCATGACCCTTGGCAGTAAAAACACTACAGCCCATACGGGGAAGCAGCCAGCCACCAACTATGTCACAGGACAGAATGAGCAGTGGGGCATAAATGGTGTGTGAGCAACAGGCAGAGGGAGAGAGCTCTATTCCTGTCCATCAGGGATCCTTTCTTGTCTGTAGATCTTCCCTGTGCCCATCTGCTGGGGAGATGTGGGTGTGAAACCCCTCGGCTCCACATCTACCTCCCTGCCTCCTTCCAGACAGAATTCCTACGACAAACCCAGAGCAGTGGAAGCCTGTGTCCAACCCCACAATGCGTTCATCAATATGCCTTCTACCCCAATAATCCTGCCTACCCCCACCCAGGGCTGGCTGTAGCTTCAACAGCAGGGATGTCCAGGACCCCTTTCTCAGCTGCCCAGCAC